AGCATACCTGTTTAAACTGTGTTTCACTTGAAAATATGAAATATATTAAATATTTTTTGTTGAATTCGTTTGCTCGGCAAACTATAACCAGTCATGGCGAGATTAGATGGATTCTGAAGGAAACTGACTTCTCAAAGCTCACCTCCCTCCGGCTTCCAATTCATTTCTGCTTTTCCTGTATCTCCTTGTGTCTGTTTTAGTTAGGTGTTCAAGTCCAGCGTTCAGTGTTGTTGTTGTTAAGTGCCTTCGAGTCGGTTCCGACCCATAGCGACCCTGTACAGGGTTTCCGAGGGTGTAAATCCTTACGGGAGTAGAAAGCCTCATCTTTCTCCCGCGGAGCGGCTGGTAGTTTCGAACCACTGACCTTAAGGTTCTCAGCCCGATTCGTAACCACTACGCTACCAGAGCTCAGTGTAGATAAAATCAATCTAAATGAGGATTGGAAAATCTGTTATGGATTGAACTGTATTCCTAAAACAGATATGCTGAAGACCTAGCTCGTGTACTTATGAATATGATCTTGTCTGGTGAAATGTTTTTTTTCTTGTATAGATGCTATTAGTAGGAATAGAATGGATCCTAATCCCTTCTGAGTACCATAAAAAGTGAGTCTCCAATTAGAAGAAGACACTGAGAGAAGATAACCTATGAAGAATCACCTACAAGTCAAACAGCTTCAAGAGAAAGCTCAGAGTTTCAGAAGTAAATAGAGACAAGGAAGATTGTCTCTAGAAGCAGAGATGGAGAGTCTTTTTTCTGTCAAAATTTATAACATTATTCGCAGACTTTACAAAATTATCAGATTAAAAATTAGCCTGCTATATTTGGTCAAACATTTCATTAACTCACCCCTCATGTGAGGGTCACTATGAGCCAGAACCAACTTAGCAGCATTTAACAGCAACAAATGTGATGACTAAAACTCGTGTTGCCTTGGCAGGCCAGGCCAAAGGATATCCAGGCCTTATAGACTCAAAGGCATGTTGTTCCCCACCCCTGCTAGAGAGAAGGAGAAATAAGCCCTGCTCAGACCCTGAATTCAGACTCTTAGCCCCTAGAACTGGGAGAAAATTCATTTCTGTTTTTAAAAGTCATCTGTTTCTTGGCATTTTGTTAAGGCAGACCCAAGAATTAAAGACATCTGCCAAATGAAAAAAAAAACCTTGAGTGTAAAAACCACACACAGACACAAACCTTTTGCCTATAGAAAAGCTACAAGTAATGTTAAATATATATGAAATGCACTTTGACTCATTCCTATTACTATGCAGCGATTATACAGTACATGGCATGAAGCCTGTCAATCTTCAAGGCCTAATTAATTATCCTCTGACCCTGAGCTATTTCCATAGGTGGTCTACATGCAAGTGACTAAAGACCAACTGCTCATTCCCCAGGGGAGGGAGAGTAGCTTGTTCACTGTTCGCTGCAAAAGATGCTGATCTCTTAGCCTTTAGTTCCTCAGGTGTTTCACAACTGACTGCATCACTGGGCCATGGTGTAGCCCAATGGGACTTGGCGGCAGGGAACTGGCTTCCATGTTTGTTGTACTGTGAGTTTGTTGTACTGTCTCACTCTGACAAATGAGTCTCATTGTCTACTTCTAGCACATAAGGAATTATAACAGGTTTACTTTTTGCCATTCATTCCTGTCAGAGGTATATCTGTATATTATGATATGGTAGGAAATAAACTATAAACTATTATAGATCCTTTGCTATAGGATCAGCACTGGACTGCTAACCACAGATTGGCAGTTCAAACCCACTAACCACTCCTTAGAAATCCTATACAGGGTGGCTATGTATGGGTCAGGACTGACTGGACAGCACTTAACAACAACATCATACCCTTAAAGAACCTTCCTGTTGTTATTGTTAAGTGCCATCGAGTCGGTTCCAACCCATAGCAACCCTGTATAGGGTTTCCAAGGAGCAGCTGAACTGCCACCCTTGCAGTTCAAACTACTTTGCAGTCTGGCATATTAACCCACAGCGCCACACCAGGAGACTTCTAAAGAGCCTTAAGTATATTCATATACCTTAACCTAAAATTCATCTTTTGAAAATACATTTTAAATAAATGATGGTAAACATAACAGAGCTCCAGTTCTAAAAATTACATGGCAATATTAGCTTTGTAGCATTGTGGTGCATGCAATAGTTCATTAGTGTTGGCAGAAAACTAGGCTCATGGAATACTGCCAAATGGTAGTGCTCCTGAGAATGCCTGAGGTAAAGGAAAACTACACCTTCCACAGAGTTCTCATGGGGCTGAATAGAAAGAAAACATCATGCATCACATATACAAAACCCTAATGGTTAGTCTGCTCAAGACCCTGAGAACTAACCGTTCTTGAAAAGGCAATGAGGAAATATATAGAAAATACTTAGCATGGTAATACACAGTAATGGCTTAATCAATGCTGATATTATTAGCAGTATTAGTATATGTGGTAAAGAAAACAATACTGAATTGGTAATCAGGGGAGCTGAGTTTTAGTCTTGGGACTATGCTATCCAATAAATAACTAATTAGCTAATCCTGAGATTGTCAGACTGCTGTAGTTTTGATTGCCCTCATTTGTGAAATGAAGGAGGGGAGCTTATATGATCTCTTAGTCCCTTCCAGTTCACAAAAATCTATGTAAGTCCATGATGAGTTCAGATTCAAGCCTTATCAACGGAGAGAAAGATGATATTTCTAGCAGAAATGAAAATGCCACGATAACTAAGTGGAAATGTATGTGTGTTGAGCATGCAATTAATGAGCACAGAATCTCAACATTTGTGATGCTGTAACTATCATAACATAATCATATGATATGATCAAATAACAATTTATGTAACAATTTAGTAGCTCTGGTAGCGTAGTGGTTACGAATCGGACTGAGAACCACAAGGTCAGCAGTTCGAAACTACCAGCTGTTTCGCGGGAGAAATATGAGGCGTTCTGCTCCCGTAAAGATTTACAGCCTCGGAAACCATGTACAGGGTCGCTATGAGTTGGAACCGACTCCACGGCACATAACAGCAGCAGCAGCTGCCAACTGTAGGAGTGGAGGGATGTGTGTGAAGCCCACCCGGTGGTAGCTCTCTAACCAAGAGACGCCTCAAAGAGAGCTACAGGGGAGGCCTTGTGTGCCATCAGTGCTGGGCTTGGAACACACGGACCTAACAGCTTTGGGTAGGGTCCGTAATTAGGGAAATAGTTACTATGTACTTGACCTTTATCTACTTATTGTTCACTCTTAGCTTCGTACTTAAAGGTTACTTTGGTAATTTTAAGCCTTAGATTGATGAGCTGCCCAGATATTCTTCCTGCCTAAGATTGTACTTAAAGCTGTAATGTAAAATAATGAAGTCACTCTGACCATCTTGAGTCCCCTGCCACTTTGCAATTCTCCGTCCGCCCCCGGAAACCCGTTTGTGCAGGGCTGGTTCCTGCAGCCAACCATCCCAGTAAAATAATGTTAACTATTGAATACCTAATCACAGTTCATTTCCTCAAGCCTTTCTTCCAGCATTATTGGTTCGTGGCTGTTATACTAAATAGGGTATAACGGTATCATTATACTCTGTTTAGTTGCCCTTTTTTTTTTTTTTTTTAGTGTTTTATTGTAAATTATGTGATAGCTTACATGGGAGAACATTAGTTTTACATTCATCCTATAGTATATTGTTTCATT